GTTCACGTCGACCACCTCCACGGACAGGCTGGCTGTGGCCGACAGCGAAGGCGAGCCCCCGTCCCGCGCGGTCACCACCACCTCATAGTTGGCCACGCTCTCGCGGTCCAGGGCGCTGTCCAGCACCAGCGAATAGTAATTCTTGAAGGTGGACACCAGCTTGAAGGGGACATGCGGTGTCAGAGTGCAGGTCACCTGCCCGTTGACACTGGAGTCCCGGTCGGACACGGAGATGAAGGCAATGACAGTGCCGAGGGGGGCGTCCTCTCTGACGGGCAAGGACAAGGACCTGACCGCCAGTTCCGGAGCATTATCATTTACATCCAGCACTTTCACTAAAACCTTGCAGTGATTTGACATGGGAGGACTTCCTTTATCAACTGCTTTTACCTGAATTTCGTAGGATCTTGTCTCTTCATAATCCAGTTCACCAATTAGCCTAATTTCTCCTGAGCTGGAATCAATTTTGAAGTTCTTTCTAATGTTCACAGGAACATCACTGCCAAAGAAAAAGACAACTTCTCCATTTACACCTTCGTCAGCGTCCGAGGCATTTAATGTGGTTACTAATGTCCCATTCGCTATCGTTTCCAATAAATGGACTCTGTACACGGCCTGAGAAAACAACGGGGCGTTGTCATTAACGTCGAGCACCGTTATCAGCAGGTGAACTCTACCTTCCAGCTCAGGTTTGCCCCCATCCGTGGCTGTCAATAATAAATGAAGTTCTGGAGTTTCCTCTCTGTCCAAAACTTTCCTCAATTCAAGCGCAAGTGACTTACTCAGTTCATCACTTGCCTGTATATCCAACGAGAAATAATCACTGGGGCTGAGCGTATACGTTAGAAGAGAATTGGTGCCAATGTCGGCATCAGCAGCGCCCTCTAGCGGGAAATGCGATCCCAGCAGCCTAGATTCGGGAATAAATAACCTTTGTTCTCTCTCTCTGAAGACGGGTGGATTATCGTTAATGTCCTTCACCTCCACCTCCACGTGGAAAACCTGTGGCGGCCTCTCCACCACCACCTCCAGGTGGATGCTGCACTCCGCGCTCCGCCCGCACAGCTCCTCGCGGTCGATCCGAGAATTCACAAACAAAATGCCATTCTGCAGATTTACCTCCAGGAGGTCCCCGCGGGGCTTGGACGCCACCCGGAACAGGCGCGGCACCAGCTCCGCCAGCTCCAGCCCCAGGTCCTGCGCGATGCGGCCCACGAAGGTGCCGTGCTTGGCCTCCTCGGGGACCGCGTAGTGGACCTGGCCGCTCCCCGCCTTCCAGATTGTGAGGAGCAGAAGGGAGAGCAGCAGGCGCCGGGCTCCCTTGCCTCCTCGCCTGGGATACAGCATCGCAGAAGCACTACACTGTTCGTACCTCTCTCACCTTACTTCAGAATCATGTCTCTTTACTTCATATTGTTAGTACTTCCTCCCAGCGTTTCTGTCTTCTCTCGGGCGGTGACAAAATGGAGCTTCCTCCTTTAGCGTTGGCGATCGTACATTCCCATTGACAAGATTTTGTGGTATACAGCGACATCATGTGGCTGACTGTAGATTTTTAGATCCATTCATTGATTTCCAAAATAGCCTCATATTCATTTGCAATTTACGCAAAGCAATCATTTTCAACTTTATATCATTTTGAAGGCCCAGACATTTCAAGTGTCACTTGAGAGTATGTAATTCAATATTTTCCTTTAGCTGTTTGCACAAAAGTATTACAATTGCATTTGGGAAAATCACGATATACATAAATAAGTACATCTTTTTATTTAAAATAATCTATCGGCTCATATCTTTTTATTATTAAATATTTATAACTGCACACTTTAGTTTTAAAATAAGGCACTTAGACCACTGAGGTTCACCTTATCCTAGGCTAGTTTGGGTGTTTATTTTTTAAATGCTATAACATGACCAAGTACTTACATATGAAATATTTTGAAATTTTGATGAACTATATTTAAGATTCCTTCAATGTTTATAAAAACCATTTCTGACCCCGCCAACGTGACTCAGTAGTTGAGCATCGACCTATGAACCAGCAGGTCACGGTTCATGCTCAGGTTTCCGATTCAAACCCCAGTGTGAGGCGTAAAGGAAGCAGCCAATCAATGATTCTCTCTCATCATTGATGTTTCTATTTCTCTCTCCTTCTCCCTTCCTCTCTGGAATCAATAAAAATATATTTTAAAACCATTCCAGATACTTTAAATCTTACAATAATGATATTTGGAACATTTCTATTTGTTGCTTGTTACATGACATCAATTTAGAATAATGACTTTTAACCTCCAAATGTCATTATTCCAAATTGAATTAGAATCCATTGGATCTTCCTTCCTACAATAAATTTTAAGGAAATTATATTTTTCTTTTTTCATATTAAGGCAAGCATTGTCATATTTCAGTTAAAATAATATGAATATTGAATCAATATCAAGTACACATATCTGAAATTTTGATAATAATAATTCATCATCAACATTTAAATATAAATCTAATGTAATTAGGTTTTCAGAAGAAACTATTTGAAAAAATCATATTAATAAACTTTTTCAACTTCAGTCCAATTCATAATAATAACCTCATAGCTAAATCAAAATTTAAGTATGTTGTCATAAACTACCACTAGTTAATTTTTAAAAGAATGTCCTTAATATTTCTATTTTTAAGTATTATGGATTTTTGAGAATATTAATATGAATAAGAATTAGTCTATTGCCTTTCTAATCAGAAACCCCAGTCATTGTTTAAATTGATAATTAAAATATAGATGAAACATGTTATTTTATTTTTCAAAAACAAGCATATAATTTCAATAGTTCTGTGTAATAATTACTTCATTAAAAAAGATACAGCAATATAAGATACATCAATATCCTCTAATCTCAAAATGAAGCAAATTCTGAATTTATGACTTTTCTAATTATTAGATTTAAACAATACTATCAATACTTGAATTAATAAAATGTAGAATAAATACTAATCACAATTCATTGACATTCAAATATCTTAAACATAAAACTGTTGAATTAAATATACTTTATTTCCACACATAAAAGTTTATTTTACCTTTTATTATTTTTTAATATATTTTTTATTGATTTCAGAAAAGGAGCAGGAGAAAGAGATAGAAACTTCAATGATGAGAGAGAATCATTGATCGGCTGCCTCCTGCACACCCCACACTGGGGATCAAGCCCAAAAACCAGTCATGTGTCCTGACCAGGAATCAAACCATGACCTCCTGTTCTTAGGTCCAGGTGCAATACTGAGCCATGCCAGCCAGGCTATTTTACCTTTTAAAACATACCTAATATAACTGAAAATTATATGATCATGTGTTAATATTGAGGACTACAATGATCTTTAAATGTAATTTCAACCACAAACCATATTATACTGTTTCATCCTTTGTCTTTCTTTTGATGAAAAATGCTCAATTTGAAGATATTCTCAATATTAGAGAAATGTAATTTACAATAACCAGATGACAATTAATTGAAACAAAACAATACTTGACCATGGACTTCATTGTCATGGTAATGATCATGAAAACAAAGGACTACAGAATACTATCCTCAAGGAAAAAACAAAGGAGAGTATAAATGCCTTGAAAAAAGTGTTATCAGAGATAGCTATTTTTAAAAAGCAGTGTTTGTATGTTATTGAAGTTAAGCTGGTATAAACACAAATTAAAGTGTTACAACTTCAAGATATTAAATGCAATCTCCGTGATAACCGCGAAGAAAACAGGTATAGAATCTGAATAGATCTATAACCATTAAGGAAATTGAATCAGCAACTTAAAAAATCTGACAAAGAGAAGTCCTTGACCCATCGGCATCACTGATGAATTCTACCAAACATTTAAAGAAAAAATAATGTCAACCTTTTTTCAAACTTTTTCAAACTTTTTCAAAAATTGAAAAGCCTGGAACAGTTTCTAACTCCTTCTATGAGGCCAGCATTACACTCATACCAAAGCCAGACAAAGACACTACAAGAAAATAAAGCTGCAGATAAGTATTCCTTATAAAAATTGATGCTAAAATCCTCAAAAAATATTTAAAAACAGGATTCAACATTCCAATATTTAAAAGCAAGTGGGATTTATTCCTGAAATACAAGGATGTCTCAACATCAATCAATGTAAGATACCACAGTAACAGAATAAACAAAAATCCACATGATCATATTAACAAATGCATTTCAAAAAATTCAATACCCTTTCATGAAAAAAGCACTAAAAATCCTAGGAATAGAAGGAAACTACCTCAACATAATAAGATGCAATACATGAAAAACCCAGAGTGAACACATGATCCTCGATAGTGAAAGACTGAAAGCTTTTCCTCTGGAAAGAAAGAAAGAAAGAAAGCCTGCTTTTACCTCTTCAATTCAACAAAGTAATGGAAGTTCTAGCCAGAGCAATAAGGCAAGAAAAATAAATAAAAGGCATCCAAATTTGTTAGAAAGAAGTAAAATTATCACCCTAGCCAGTGTAGCTCACTGGTTGGAGTGTTGGCCCATGCACCAAAGTGTTGAGGGTTTGATCCCAGTCAAGGGCATGTACCTGGGTTGCAGGTTTGATCCCTGCCTAGGTGGGGGCAAGTTCTAGAGGTAACTAATATCTCTTTCTCTCTCTCTCTCTCTCTCTCTCACTCATTCTCTCTCTCTCTCTTTCTCTTCCTCCTTCCTTCCTCCCTCCCTTCCACTCTATCTAAAATCAATGGAGCTCCAGCCAGATTGGCTCAGTGGATAGAGCCTCCGCCTGCAGACTGAACAGGTCCTGGGTTCAATCCCGTCAAGGGCATGTACCTAGGTTGCAGGCTCCTCCCCCCTGGGGCCCTGGTTGGGGCACATGCAGGAGGCAACCAATCGATGTGTTTCTCTAACATCAATATTTTTCTCTGTCTTTCCCTCTATCATCCACTCTCTCTAAAAACAATCAATGGAAAAATATCCTTGATGAGGAGAAAGAAAGAAAGGAAGAAAGAAAGAAAGAAAGAAAGAAAGAAAGAAAGAAAGAAAGAAAGAAAGAAAGAAAGAAAGGAAGGAAGGCAGGAAGGAAGGAAGGAAGGAAGGAAGGAAGGAAGGAAGGAAGGAAGGAAGGAAGGCAGGAAGGAAGGAAGGAAGGAAGGAAGGCAGGAAGGAAGGAAGAAAGGAAGGAAGAAAGAAAGAAGAAAGAAAAAAAGAAAGAAAGAAAGAAAACGAGAGGAGAGGAGAAGAGAGGAAGGAAGAGAGAGAGAGAGAGAGAGAGAGAGAGAGAGAGAGAGAGGAGAGAAATCTCTGTTCACAGATAATATGATCTTTTATGTAGAAAACCTTAAAGATTACATGGAAAACCTTAAAATTAATAAATCAATTCAACTAAGTATCAGGAAGACAAAATCAACACACACAAAATCAGTTACATTACCATACACTAAAAACAAACAACAAGAAATTAAGAAAGCAATTCCATTTAGAATATCATAAAAATACTTAGAAATTAACTGAGGTTAAAGATATATATGATGAAAGATACAAAGACATTTCTGAAACAAATTAAAGAACACACAAACAAATGAAAGGCATCTCATGTTCATAGATTAGGAGAATGATTATTGTTATGATATCAGTAATAACCAAATTGATCTACACACTTAATGTAATCCTTATAAAAATTCCAATGATATGTAACTTTCAACAATAAATAATTTACATTTTTTAAAATCCCAATGATATTTTTTGCAGAAGTAGAAAAACCCATCCTAAAATCCAAATGGATGTCAAGGGACCCCAAGTAGCCAAAACAACCCTGAAAAAGAACAAAGCTGAAGGACTCACACTTCATAATTTCAAACCTTACTACAAGGCTACAGTAATCAAAACTGTAGTAGTACTGGCATAAAGACAAACATATAGACTAATGGAATTAAATAGAGGTCCAGAAATAAACCTTCACATTTAGTCAAATAATTTTAAACGGTGCCAAGAACACTTAATACAAAGGAAGACAATTTTTTTTAACAAATGGTGCTGGAAAAATAGCATATCCACCTGCAAAAGAATGACGTCCTACCCTTACATAATGCCACATATAAAAAATTACTCAGAATGGATTCATCGCCTAAATATAAGACCTAAAATGATAAAATTCTCAGAAGAAAACATACGGTAAAAGCTTCACTATGTTGGGTTTGGCAATGATTTTTTGGATATGATGCCGAAGGCACAGGCAACAAATGAAAATAATTAGGCAAATTAGACCATAAAAATGAAACATTCTTTCCATTTAAAGAAAATATCAAGACCTTCCAGTATCCAGTTCCAAATGTAAGGAGCTTGGAAATAACCACTCCATCCTAACAAGTATAAAGCTGAACAGACGTAAGAATCAACAACTCTTCTTGGATGTGTAAGAGAGAGGAGGGCACGGGGCAAAGCACAACCCCCAATGTTAGGGACATAGATAGGGGAATACAGGAAGTCACGGGTTACTGCTGCGGAGATTCAAGAGCAGAAACCATTGTGGAACCAGTGC